CTTAAAGTGTGGTAATTTACAGCTAATAAAACCTAGGGAAAATGTTGAATGTAAAAGAAAATTTTCACATTGGTGGTACTAAATGAATATACACATAATATAGTCAATGCTCTCTAAGTGATAAAGATGAAATTTTGTATTGACTAACAAAATTGGTAATTTCAAGGACAATCCAACTTTACAAATCTGAAACCTATCTGTGCAGGAAAACGTACATTTTTATAGAATCTTGTAAATTATGTAAGTATTTGAACAATTCAGGTCAAGTAAATTTGGGGGGGAGGAGAAAAAGCAATATATAGAAATTCATTATAGTTACCACACCAACCTTGCTAATGGGCAGTAAAGCAAACATGCTTATGCAGTTAAATGTTTTTCCTAGTTTCCATTTCTTGTTTGCAACTTAGCTAAAGAACAATGTTTAAAAGAATTAAAAGGGCTTATACTATTTCAGCTCACTGATTTGTGCTATTATCAATTTTCAGACAGAATTTGACCTGAGCCAGCAACTGGACTAGGCTCAGAACCAAATTCAACTAACCAAGAAACCTAATCACACATAATCAGTGACATGCAATTGCCACTAATAATGCTAGTCACAAGCTTATCACATTTATACATAAATCAACCACAGGATTTGAATCATCCAAACTTCAAAAGAAGTGAATTTCAGACATCTAGTACTAAACCCAGAAAGATCTGTACCTCTTTAAAGCTCACTGTGGTGGCATATGTCTGTAATTCCAGCACTAGGGAGACTGAGGCAGAAAGATTACCATGACTTACAGACCAGCCTGGACTACAGACTCAGAACAAGGCCAGCCTGAACTACAAAGTGAGATTCTTTGTCTCCAAAAACAACCCTAAATAAATAAATAAAATTACAACTTATACGACCAGCTGTGCATCATCATGCACACCTGTAATTCCAGCACTGGGAAGACTGAGGCAGGATGATTCCAAGGCCAATCTGGACTACATATCCATAGTGAGAAGCACTCTTGAAAAAACAACAATAAGGCTCCGGGTATAGCTCTGTGGCTGAGTGGCTCAAGCATGCCTGGGGCCCTGAGTTTGATCCTCAACACTACCAAAAGAAATAGTAAGATAAAAAACAATAGTAAAAAATAAAATGAAACATAACCATAAAATACAGGCTTTCTCACTACAATACAGAACATAAAGTTTAGAGACAATGGAGAAAAGTTTCAGGGAGTAAAAGACTATATTTATACCTATTGTTTTCATTATATTATTATGAAATAATACATTTGCAAAACTAGCATATCCTGGACTTAAATCTGCATTTAAATAAGTTCAACTTGGGGCCAGGGATTTAGCTCAGCGGTTCTGATGCTTGCCTTGCAAGCTGCCAGAGTTCAAGCCCCGGTACCAAAAAAAAAAGTTAAACTGAACAAGCCCAGTGATCATTAGTTTTCAGAAACATCATCAAATGTAATGTTATGGTGCAAGTGAATGTAAAAGACAAATAAGAGGCCTGGAAATAAAATTTACAAGTGAAATTTTGGGTCTGTATGAATGGCAGATTTCCAAGTAACTACATAAGAAGCTAAAGACAAGATTTCCGGCAAACTGATCTGTCACATACTGTCTTTAAACAAGTGCTCTCTATCAGAAATTCTAACTGGCTAATAAATTCCATAATGAAATGAAAGTTGTCTCCATGAAGAGGATTTTACTGATAAAAATATTGATGTACATATTTTACTTAATTATAATTTTCTATACTAACAAGCTCCTTTGCTATTCACCTACAATAAATATAAAATACTTAACTATAATTTTCTATATAAACCAGCTCCTTTGCTACTCACCTACAATAAATATAAAATATAAATATGATTGTTTATTGGACTCATATCTCACCCCTAAGGAATCTGCCTTATGCCTGGAATCTTATTTTTACTGCATTAAAATAGTGTAGGAAAACCTTACCATATATATGACAAGGAATAAGATTCATAAGCAGGATAACATAAATTCATTGTTCAAGGATAGCATAAAGTCACTGTTCAAGAATATGACTGGTTATCTTACCTAATAGTCTGATGAGAAGTGCCCAGGGAAACACATACATACACACACACACACACACACACACACACACACACACACACACAGTATAAAATGATGAGGCAGCCAAAGTCCCCTGTTCCCATATCCATAAAACTCTTAAAGTTTCTTCACAGGATGAATGCCTGTACTTTTTTCCTTTTTTAAAAAAGATTTATCAGAACAAATTGTCCATAGCACTCTATTCAGCTCATTCCAGCTCATTTAGTGCCTAGAGTTCAATGGAATACACTAAACTAGCTTTGAAAATTCACATAAGCCTACATACAAATCAATGTCTATTTTTTGAGGCTCAGATTGAAAATTTTAACTTGAAAAAGAAAAACACACTAAGGAAAGAGGTTTGTTTTTAAATATTTTAATGGAATCAGGGGGTCATATTTCAAAATTGAGCTAAGTGCTCACACAGTGCCAGTACATTTGTGAGGCTGAATGAAAAAGTAATAACAAATAACAGAAATATATATTTTAAAAAGCGTGAAAGTAAAAAAAAAAACTACAACAATTTCAACTTATTGACCAAGATACATAGTAAAGAAAAATTTCAAACTGTTTTAATCTTCAAGTTGATAAGTTCTCTCAAGGATCTCCGAATATTAAGCAACACTCGATTTAACCCTCAATTCCTCTATTTTAAATAAAACCGTTGATGTACTGTGAATACACATCCATAAATTCTGCCCTGGCTCAGAAACATTTAACTTTTTCTTCTAGAGAGCGTGTGGGAGTGTGTTTATATGGGAAGAGTAACCTCTCTGACAAAACAGTGTCGATGGTTTCTAATAGTTCTTCCTACCCAGCAATCTTTGTTTTTCCCCCTTTTATACTTCTTTTCCTTCTACTCTGCACGTACAGCCTAGGCCCCCATATCTTGCCTTTACCCTTTCTCCATTCCCATATGGCGCCCGTTTCCGTGCCCAGTGGCACCTAAGGGCCGAGCACGAACCCCTGCGGCTGGCGCTAAGCAGGCACCAATGGGGCGGACGGCTGTCACCGCGGAGCGGGCGTGGGCCAGAACCGGGGTGATTCGTGGTTGCTCGTCGCCCAGTCCCGCGTGGTTGAAGGTCTCTGAGCCCCCTAGGTCAGCCCCGGCGCAGCTGTCGCGGGGAAGGAAGCTAATCACAGCGTCAAAACCGTTTTGACAGGCAGACCAGAAAGAGAAAGGGGCTCACTGCAGCGAGCGGCCCGGAGCCCAGATAAGAAATCCCGAGAGCAAACCCCCGCTCCGGCCAGGAGGCAAGCGGGAGACCACAAAGCCACCGACTCAGCCCAGCCCAACAGGGGCCCGCCCAGGGGCCACTCCCCAAGGGAGGCAGCCAGTCACTCGCTCGCCCAGTCGGGCCCGCTCCTGAGGGGACGGGCTCCCGCCCGCCCTCAAACACAGC